TGTTACCGTTGTGCTTAGTTACATGAAATGTCCCTAAGATTCTGCCATGCTGCTGTGTTGTCCACTCTGTAGCATGCCAAGAAATGAAGCCATAGTTCTTGCCTAACTGCAGGAAAAAGGACTGATGTGAAAAGATCCAAATAAATCTTAATTTACAAGATGGTTTTAGAGTACTGTAGAGCATCCATTAAAAAACACTCCCACAGTGCACTATAATAATCCTTAAATTAAGGCTGTGAACGGACCTAGATCAGCAGCAACTCTGTGTAGTACCATTGTGCATAAGGTGCTTTAGAATAACAATCACTGTCTGATACGTTGCTTTTCTTCCTAAAGAAAACTGATACCTTATAGTGATGCTAAATTCATCTCAGTTTAGGCGAAGCCAGATAGACTGCATGTACATCTTTCAGAAATCTGGCTTTTATCTCTCCAAGTAGCCTCAAAGTGCACATTTGGGGCTCTGCTACCCAAGTGAGAAGTCTGGATGCTGCAGGTCTCCCAAGCAACTGAAGGCTGATCGTCACAAATGACTGTGATGAAGAAACAGGTCGTTTGTGGACATCATCCTCCAAAAGCGCTATTTGTGCACAGTTTTGCTGCATAAAACACTTACACCAGAGCTAACATTGATCACGACTACATCATAAAATCATGGATTTCTCCCCCAAAGAGTGAACTGCATTAGCAATTTAATAATTGTACGCCTTCTGCATTCAGCAACCTCTCTCTTTATACATCTAATCAGCATGAATTTAAATGCAGGATAATTAGCAGATATACTCATGGACAGGTGCTGAAATGATCCCTGAAAATTTAACCACTTGATGTCTTGTAGCACGCACTAGCAGTTGGAGTCGTAGTAAGACAGAACACATGGCAACAGGGGTGAAATCTTACTATGGGCAGCAAAAAAGATTTAAAAAAAAAAACCACAAACACATTTCAGAGCAGAGACTAAATTCAAACATTTGGGTGTTTTCCCCTTCAGTAGAAGACAAAAAAAGTAAATGCCACTTTATCTTTGTCTTCCCATGTTTTGTCTACGAATAAGTCAGTATGTTGGTATATTTACCATCAACATGCAGGCAAGTATCTGGTGGTATTGTTCCTAGACTTTGTAAGTGCTGATCCACCAAAGCACAGATAGCCCAGCAAAACATGTCTGCAGATAGACAAAGCCATGTCCACGTGAGAGCAATAAATCTGAACCACAGCCAACACACTCGAACTTTGCTTGGCTTACTTGCCAGGCTTTCGGGACTCAGGCAGATCCCAACTTCTTCGTCCAGGTAAACACCTCCTGGTAGTCTGTTGCAGTTTTGCCTCAGCAAGGAGAGCAGTTTTACAGGCTACAGCTTTTTTCCCCCAACATTCTCAAAAACTCATAGAGCAGTCATTAAATCATTGGTTTGCACGTGTAACATGCTGAGAGTGCCTCAGTTACTGGAAAATGCTTGGGACAAGATCCCTCAGGAGAGGCAGACGAAGCAGGCAGAAGGGCCCCAGGAGAGGCAGCAGCCGAGAGGGCTGGGAACAGACTGAGCTGGCCCCGCATGCACGCCGCTCGTACGTACGTACGTGAGCGTACCTGACCTGAAAGCCGTCTAGTGCTCTACGGCAGCACTACGTGCAAGTGGTTCTGTTCCAGCTCTCAGGAGAACTCGTTAGCTCAAAGCTAGAACTGCCCTAACGAGGCTTCTCAGCTTCTGCCTGACATGGCCCGGTGCCCCGCTCGCTCCAAGCGCAGGCAGGAGGAGCTCGCGCCTGCCTGCAAGAGCGGCCACACGTGCCAGGGAGGAGGTGACCTCGCCAGGGGAAAGTGGGAGGAACACCAGCATCTGGGGAGAAACAAGCACAGGCCCATGCACCCATGTGAACCCCTTCATTCTATGAAATGGAAAGTCTCCCATTTAAAAGATGGGCAAATATCTTGTGAAAGTGAATTGTGAACTTTCATGCAAAAGAGAGGGCTGGCCAAGCCAAGTGGTTTTGCGTGCTCATTAGGATGAAACAAAAGGATCCTATCACCATGGTCCCCATGAGGTGGTAAACACAAAATTTCTTTTGCTACCTTTGCATTTTACTGGCACTTAATTAAATACAGAAAGGAAAACAGAGGCACAGAGACGGTGGTGTATGGAAGTAAAAAAGAGAGACTAAATTTGGGATCATAACCGTTCCTGTAATGTCGCTATGAGAACATGATTTTTCTACCTAGTGTACTGACATTGTGCCTCTCAATATTGCTGACTGCGAGCCCAACTATTTTACAGGACTTGGGACCAGATAAGATCTGACAATTTAAAAATATGCACATATGTCAAAGTTGACTGTCACCAAGTTATAATGTCCCTATTCTTACTAACATTTTTATGTTCTGGCAAATAGTTTGTTCTTCTAGTGGGTATTACTAATATGTAATTAAGTTTATACAAACTAAGGAAGAAAATGACATTTTGATTCATTCTCATTAGGTACCTCTTAAAGTACCTCAGGGCATTTTTAAACATGAAAAATGCCCACAATTACGATTTTTATAAAATATATGTTAATCTTGCACTCTGTAACTATTTAATGATTTTGCCAGTAGCAATTTCTTATTGCATCCCCTCTTTGTATTCAAAGCTTACCTATTGCAATGAGTCTTTATAAAGAAATACATTAATTAAATATGCCTTGGCTTTGCTAACCTGGGAAGAGAGTATTAATCATCTCGCAGGCACAAGCACAACATAATACCTGCTATTGCTCATGGGCACCTCACACAAACTGACTATTGCTGCATGATGTAATTGCCTCCAACAACCCCCAGCACACAAAGAGGCTTTCTCCTGTTGGTGTTGTGCCATTCACTCACCTCATCTAGTGTAAAGCAGCTGATGCATTTGCGAGATGTTATGGGCTATTTTTTCTTTTCTTAAATCACTATACCAGCACCTAGTGAAATATATTTTTAGTGACCACCCTGACATGAGACATACAGAGGATGCCCATGGCTTGAGTGGGGCAGGGTTGTTGGTCTTTCCTCACCAAATCCTCCTGGGGAGCTCTCACCAGCACAGAGGGGAAAGTCAGTACCAAACACAAGATGCAGCTATAACCAGCAAAGGGGTTTGTTATGGGCAGGGTCACTAAAATACAGTATTCTTCAGGAAAAAAAAAAAGTTGAAAAATAAGAACAATGACTGATATTCTTATATCAGACACCTGAGGTACAACCTCATTCCCATTTGTCTAATGTCATTGCTGAGTTGGACTTCAGTCAGAATGAAAAGGTGTTTCACGTGCATTTATACCTGTGGGTAGTTGCCACAAACTCTGTTAATATTTTATTATGTGAGAAAGGTAAAGAAGTTGTAGCTTAGAAATGAAACATGTCAACTATTCCCTGACCTTGACTAGATGTTTGAAATGCTCTTCAATATGTTGACAATATGTGCTAGGCAGAAATTATTTTTCATGGAAAATACTTCTCCGATACCCTGCTTGTACCTTCATTAATCACAGGTCACCCTCATAGGTCCGAACTTCTCATTCGACAAACATCTAAAAAGGGGAAAGTTTAGAGTAACCCTGACTGTGTTTAGAGTGACTCTGAGCATAAGGCATTTATTTTACCTAACACAGCTAAAGGTATTCAGATTAATGTTCAGAACTGCCTAGTGCGCTTTTTTTTTTTTTGTCCTCTTTAGCCACTTGCCTCAATTATGCTGTGTGGAAAAGGTCAGTCCTTCCATCATGTTTGAATTGGTTGCCTTTTCTCTTCATCAGAGGTCCTATTAAGTGAGCCTACACTGACTCCATTACTCACTTTTCCTCTCTCTCATGGTGAATCAAGGTACGCAAGGAACCACAGGTGTCCTCCAGGTCTTCTCTAACCTTTCTCTACTACCAATGGCCTCTCCCGCCCATTTTTGCCCCTCAGCCTCTCTGTTCCCAACTCCTTTTTCTCTCTCCTGCTCAGGACGTGTTAGTGCTCTTTCCAGCTCCATGACACTGAAGCATGCATCTCCTACTATTCTTGCTACCACTGTTGCATGTTATATTTAGGTGTACATTTGATGAGGAACTTTATAAAAATTCCCTCTCATCAGCTGGCTCACCCTGGGATGCCAGCAAAGGAAAAGGCATGGGGGGGCACAGGGAGATGCTGTCAGACAGGGCAGCCTGCTTAATGGGAGCTGGAGGGAGGGAGTAGCAGGGAGAGAGAAAGGGGAAATCAAAGCATGATCTATCCGAGCAAGGTGGGAAATGAGGCTGTGAAAGAAGGCATGAGCTGAACGCTAACAACCTGAATGCTTGGCTCAGGTCCTCTCCTTGCCGTCTACTGTGGCCACAGATCCTCTCCTCTTTCCATCTTCAACTGTCCCTGGGTAACTTTACCCAGGCTCAGACATCCAACTATCATCACAATTTGTGGCTGGTCGGTGCTGAACCAGTAGCTAAAGCCTGGTGAGTAACATCATCACCACACAGTGTGTCACTGCGCAGCCAGGATGGAGGGATGAAAACCCCTTTTTTAGCTGTTTGGATAGTGCTCCACTTCTGAAACATAACCCTGACATTTCTGGAGGCTCTACAATATTCCTTGTGTTTTTTCATGACAGCCCGTGCCCTGCCCTGTCCCTCCGCAAAGAGATGCTCTAGTTCTCATTTTACAAAACAAGTATCTGAGACATGGCAACCTCAGACAGGTCACGTTCAGGGTGTGTGGGGCAGAACAGACAACCAAAACCAGGTCCCTGAGCACACAAACCACAAGGTATCTTTCCTCTTTTGTTCAGGCTTAGGTAAATTCCCTTCCACTGCTTCCAAACCAGAGGTGTAATTAGATGTATTTGATAAATCTCTATAATTGGGGGTAATTTATATATCCCGTTAAAAAAAAATAAATGTTGCTTCAATATTAGTAAGACAGTACAAATAGATGAGCTAAAAGAGCAAAGGTTTGCTTATAAAGTTAATAGGAGACACGAGGTGGTGCTTTCTGTGCTTACCTTCAGCACTGTGATATTCCATGCAAAACTCTCAATGGCTTTGCTTAATTTTCTTCCTTTCAAACCTTCCTTTGTCCCGAGGTTATGAAGCTCTTCATGGAATTCCATTCCTAAAAATACAGATTGCTACATCACCCAGTGCATGACTGATTCTCCCTATAAAATGTTCGGTGAGCATTTTCAGTCTCACAGCTGGTACTTCCTACAACGTCTTTCTGTGTTTCCCCCCATTCCCTGTTATGACTCCGTCCTGGAGAGTGTCTTTCAAAATAAAAGGGTCATGTGCAATCTTGTGGTTGTGCTTCCACTTTGTAAGTAACTCTCCTTTCCAGTGCTGGGGTCCCACGCAGGCACGCGCCTGGTCCCCGCACAAGCACTCCTCCAGCGCTTCTGCTTGCAGTCTACAATCCTGGCAATATTGTGAAAAATGGCAATCACTTGGCACTCTCCTTGAATAGATGATTTTGTACCTTGGAAGGCAGTCTGACAGATGTGGAAGATACCTGTTCAGCACAGCAAATACAGACTCAAATGCACAGCTCCTCATTAATCTTAATCACAATCATACAGAAAAGCCCTTGTACTTCACAATGATAAATTATGTCAGAAACGCATACTGCTAATCACAGGATTGCTATTGCTGCCACGTGGAGAACTGAGACTTCCAGCCACAGCCCTGGGAATTGTTACATTTCATTGCTAGTTTCTGTGGCAAATGTCTGCAAATCTGTTGCTGGACACAAGAATTCAGGAAATCTGGGAGCAGATTAAAAACCTTAACGAGTCCGATTAGCCCACCAATTCCACAAGATTTGCACAACGTATGCAAACATTTCTCCGAGTCTGGTGTGGATTAAGAGACAAAATGGAGAGAGTGCTGCTTGTGTTTCCTTAATTTGTATCTTAAAAAGGCCAAATTGGCACTAAATCACTCCAAAACATCTGAAGCCCATCCTGGCTGCACACACCAAGTTCCAACTCCAGTTTCTTCATTGCTCTACCTCCCCTAATGTTTTATGGCAAATGTCACTTGCAAATTTGAGCTTCATTGAGATTACGTCAAAGAAATGCCCATTGAGAGAACACCTGCATGGAGTAGATGCAAAGGGCTGTTTAGTGGGTTACAGAAGGAGTCAGTCCTTTGACAGCCCAAGGCAGGCTTGCACTTGGCGTAGCTTGCCCAAAGCACACCTGGAAGACTAAAAATAGGTTTCTTCTTGCCTTGCACCGATTTCAGGGGCTCGATAACACTAAGGCAGTTCAACCCCACACAATGCAAGATTTCTCTACTGTTTATTTTCCCAAACTTCACCCACTGACAGGTTTTGCCTCTCAAGGGTAACAGAGCTCCTGCAGCACTTCCTTTGGAAAACAGACTAAATAATTGCACCCCAAGCAAGATTCCCCTGCAGGTATGCCTCATGCCAACTGACTTACAGATCATTATTACACTTCAGTAAGTGAAAGAAAAGCTTCAAATGACTAGCTTTGTCCTGCAAAAAATATGGAGACTAATAGTGATCAGCTCCACATGGACAGCCTTGCCTTTGTGCAGCATCCTTTTAGTTGTTTTTTCCCTCTGGACCTCACTTCCCAACCTGTAACTTGGAGACAGCGCTGCCCCAGAGAGAGGGAGTCACAAACATTTGTTAGACTGCGTGTAGGAGCACCAACAAAAACATTTAGCAGTTTGGTCCTCCAAGCTGCTGCTGACCACTGTGCATTGGGCTGAGACTGCACATGAAAAAAAGCAACAAACTTAAGGAAGCCATCTGGGGGAGTGGGCAGGACCCTGTGGCACAGGGAACCCAGACCAAAACAGGGTATGATGTGAAGCAGAGGTCTGGTGGAAACACATGTTCAAAGGGAGCAGGACTGGGGTGAGGTGAAGGACAATGTCACAGGCAATTGTACCTCTGACACGTCTTAATTTTGAGTGCTTCATCTTGCCACATTGAAAATGTTATTTAATAATTTGCCTGGCTAACATTTGCAGCAAACTAATTGGCAATTAAGCGTGATGAGGAATCTTCTCTCTCCTACTCCTTTCCTCTGTCTAAATCCCGAGTCTTCAGAAGAGCACTTCATATCTCTCCAGCCTTCTTCTCAACCAGAAATGATTTTCTAAGGCTAACAAAGCAAAACAAATGAAAATACAAGTAGATACAGCAGCAAAGGGAACAAACTCGAGAAATTCATCTTCTAGCTGGGGGAAGGAAGGAGGGAGGAACTGCACAGAGCTCTGGACATCAGCATGGTGGCATGGTCCTGCATCGTGTCCTCTGCACACATCTCCAGCCCTCTGCTCACAAGGATGCCAGCGCCCAGGCAAGTGTTGCGGGTTCTTCTCTCTGTGCCCAGAGCAAGGTGGGCAGAAAGCTGGCTGATGCTGCTGAAGGTCTGCATAATTTAGTGCAAAGTGTTGCTCTTAAATTATACCATCTAGAAGGACCCCTTGGTGCTACATTTTCCTGTCACTGTCCCATTCCTAAACCCTCTGCACCTGATGAAGTCTTTGGGCTGACGACGTATATGCTGCTTATGCAGATACACAGAAGCCAAGGCATGACACAAATTGAGGCACATGAAATCCAGAAAGACATAGCGGCTTGCCTCTCCTCCCTTTGTTACCACAGCGCCAGCATGGCTCCAGAACTCTGAATTTCAAAGAACAAGGACTAGGTTCCACCCAGCCCTTAAAAATCAGTTAAATACTACTGTTGAAACAGTTTCCAAATTTCCTCCAATTAAAAAGAGGAATTAAAGGACTTACTACAAAACATCAGCTTCATTCATTATTTACATTTAATAGCAGCAAATGGCTGTAGCCTGTGTCACTTGCCAAATCCAAAAATGCCTATCAAAACCAACAGTATTTATGATCGTTGTGGTCCCAGAAGACTATGCCCAAGAACACAAACTAAATGCAGTAGCAAGTGTTTGCATTACTGACCTTCAAGGTTTACTACAGGTTAGGAAAGTTGCAGCTGTACAACTAAATGAACTGAAAACAGATTTAATTTCTGCAGTGTAAACCCCTAATAGAAATACACTGCATGTATTTATTCAGCATGGTTTCCAATACACGAAAGCTGATTGATTTAGTTGTAGAGGATTACCACCACCAAATGTGGAGTCTTATCTCTCTGGCAGGGCTTATTCTTGTGTATCAGTGGCAACTCCAACAGATGTGTCCCAGTTCCGAGTCTAGTCTGCTATCCTGAACAAGTGATGAAGAGGGGTTTGCATGAATAAGCTGAACTGTGAATCACAGACACTTTGCTGATTTCTATCATCCTGAAAAAGGAGCATGAACCTGCGGCAGAGCAGACAGCATGCAGGAGGCCACTTCTGAAACGACCTCTTTCCCTTCTACTGGTGCACATGAGACAGAGCCCTAGTTCGGATAAAGACATCCACTACAATACGCTAGTAACATATGATCTACTTTAAGCCTAGAGTGGTTTGCTCCCATATACCTGATGTACCTAATGCATAGTTACACAGATTCACTGTGATACAATGGAATTATAATAGCATAAGTTTCCAAGGTCTAAAACAAACCTAAACAGCAAAAGTAAGTAAAGGTAGGTAACTCAGCTTGGTCCTGTGGGTTTCAAAACCTCTTGCCTCCTCTGTGTTTAACGGAATGATTGTGGTAGAGAGAATGGAGCTCAGTAAAGGCAGCATGCCTTCTCACTCCCTCTTTTTAACTGAATGCCTTTCTAGTTCATTTGACCAATTTAAATGCTGTCAGACATTTCAGAGCTGTAGAGCAGATGGAGAAATAGCTTTTAAGGTGAAAGCTGAGGACTTTTCCCTGATCTGATGCCTGCATTGCTACTGGAGGATGAGCCTTCAGGAGGGTGAAGTCTGCCAGGGAAAGACCAGGATGCTCACTTAAATACCCAGGTGAAAGATGCTACATTAGTCACAAACTATAAATAAATTATGGTACATTGTTTCCCATCTCCCATCCAGAACTGCACAATAAAGAGGGATTACCTGCTTTCTGGCACTGAACAATCTTGTCATGAGTGATGTCTGCCATCTCAATGAGAACCCTGCTCTCTTGAATCATCTGTGAGAAAATAAATGGAAAAAAAGCAGCATTACTAGGGTTTCCTGCAACATCTAGTCCACAGAAAAGTACAAACGTTCAAACTTAAGAAGAGCTCTGCTCTGTAAGAAACACTATAAAGATTGGATCACTGCTTCCTATCAGTGCTCCCAGATCTGTATCAAGCTAAGTGACAGTTGCTCAGAAAATGTTTTGCTCCAGAAGTTAAAGAACAGCAGTTTTACATCAGTGAGACACCACTGCAAATCACATGAAGGAAACACAAGTGATTTCAGAAGAAAGCAGAGTTAGCAGACAAATAAAATTCATTCTATGTGAAACTGAGCCCTTTCTAATTAGTACTTTTCTTGAAACAAAAGGATAAATAAGTATAGTCCTTGACATAAGTGGGAATAAAAAATGTTAGCAAGTCATGAATAGCGCTGATTTCAAGAGGTACTTAAGCCTGTGCTGAACTTTATGCACTATGACAGTTCAGACAGCTACAGTATTTCTGGAGTTTCTCTTTGGAGAAATTCAGATCCAAATCCTATCCTATCCTCAATTTCTGTTGAAGTTTAAAAGAAAGGGGCGAAAAAAAGAAAAAAAAAAAAAGAGGCAAACAGACCTCACAAGTTTCAAGAGATACCCATATTTATGCATCTTCCTAGAGTAGTCCATTAACAGCAAAAAGATGAATGTCCATTATGTGACAAGTTTCCTGAGCCTCTCTTCTTGCAAATGCTATTCTCCTTTGATGGTAACAAACCTTCCAAAACCCTTCAGAAGCCCAGGCAAGCAAGCAAATTGTTCCAATGCTATGTTCTGCAAAATTGCAAAAGGTGGCACACACATCTGTTACAGAAGACAATAACATGCTGTATAACAAACTATGCCTTAGAATAATCTCACTCTCCTGGGACATACACCACAAACCCCAATCAAACCCAAGCAGCATGAGAGCGGTGCCAATTAGAAATGAAGCAAACTGAATACTGGCTAATGTTACATCCTGAAATTACATAAGCCGCCATCTGAAAGCATTGCCAAATGCTACAACTGCTAAAAGCCTTCCCACTTTCAAACACACTAAATAGGAAAACACAACCAGTAGGTTTTGATGATTTTAGTGGAAGACAGTATAACAGTATCAAATTAACACTTGCAAATTAGCATGCCTTATTGCTTTAATTAGATACACGGGAGATGCTTCTACTTGTCACACCTGAAATGCCAAATTCTGGAGAAATTCAGATCTAAATTTTGCTCCTCATGCCACCTTCATTTCTAATTAAACCTATTAAGACAGGCTGCATTTAATAAAAATACCTATGTCTTTGCTTTGATATAAACAAGAACATAAGAAAAACAAAATCCATTACCGGCTTCACGGGCAAAGAGAAAAAAGCCTGATACATCTACAGAGTGCAAAATTGTTTTATAACAGAACATGCCCAGTGGATATGCCTGAGATTGAAATTACTTTTGATAGTATCCTTTGCCTTTCATTCTTGTTACTTGCTTGTTCAGGCATCATGTTGATTTTTTCTTCTTTGATATTTTTCCTTGTCATCTAGAAAGAAATGACAATTTCTACCCACCCTCTGGCTTTTCTGTACCACAGCACATAGTCATTTTGTGCTGAAGGAGCCATTCAGCCGCCAACTACAAATGCTGAAGTTAGTCTGAGCAGTAAAGAGAGTGAGAATCCTGAAAAAACTTGCAAGCCACTAGAGAGGCAGTCAGAGGCCAAACACGCATCTCTTGCATATCAGACACAGGGCCTGTGAGCCAGTGCCCACACTGCCTGGTCCAGCCAGCAGTTCTTCACAGCTGCTGGGCCCTGTGCACCCATCACCCTGGGCTTGGCCCCCCGTGGATCCATGCCTGTACTTCCTACCCAGCAGCAAGGTTTTGCCCAGCGAGGTCAATGCATCTAAGCTGGGACAGTATATCCAAGGCATCCGACCCTTCTGCGCTCAGATCCCTAAAGTAGAACTTCACTTGTGAGAGTTTTTATATATATATATATATATATATATACACACACACATATACATACATATATACACATACACACTCATATATATATATATATAGCCACAGGAAATTATCCTACCATGCACAAAAAAAGCAAGCCTGAGAATCATGCAATCTGGTAATTTAAGTTTGACCATACCTTCCTCCAACCACTGGACCCACTCCCAGGAGTTTCTGGCACGCCTGTTTTAGGATTCTCAGACATGAAGGCATTACATCCATTTTTTAAGAGAAAAGTGGCAATAGGATGTCAATTTTCCCTTACTGCAGAGTAGGTAGAGCAGACCTCCACTCCTTTGATGCTGACATCAAAGTTTCACTGCTCTCAGCTCAGCAAGAACAAACGATTAAAAACAGATCATATAGCAGAATTTCACCCGTTCCTGTCTTCCTGCTCAGCAGTAATCTTGACAAACACAAGCAGCTTTTTTCCCATGACAAATCCTGAGAGTGGATTCAGAATTCCTCAACTCAGTGACTGTGATTAGGGGATACCCTTAGAGCACCACCTGGCATCCCCCCCTCACACGTCCTCTAGGAAATAATGCCCTAGGCAGAAATAACACACCCTGGGCCAACTCTGATACATGATTTTGGCCAGCCTATGGTGTCTTCGCCACCTGTGATAACAGTGTGCAGGACCCGGTACCTCTACATGACAGGCCAGGCTCTGCTCCCAGTAAGAACTGCGTGTGCAGTTTCAGCAGGCATGAGATCTGGCTTCCTAATGCTGCGGTAAAAGATCGTTAACAATGGGCTAGTGCAAGGATGAAGCCTGGGTGTTCACTTTGAAGAACCAGAGACTGATTCATACAGGTAAGAGTACACCAGGCAAGTAACTGCTATCCAGGAATAAAATTATAGGATAGGGCGGGGGCGGGTTTTGTTTGTTTTGGTTTGGCTTTTTTTTGTTGCTGTGGGTTTTTTTCCACCCCTCCTCAAAACACATAATAATAGGTACTCTTGATAGGATTCTGTGCAAATCCTGGCAACAGAACTGAGATAACCCTCAAAAAATAGCCAAACTAATCTGAAAACCCACTTCTTTTTTTTTTAATTTTCCCCTCTCATACATTTTCACTTACACCCAGGGTAGCATCTTGGGGGATATTTACTAAGTAAATATTGTAAAGGTTACCTAAAAAGCTAAGTTACTAGTAACTGTTTACTGGAATTAATGTTAACAATTTGTCAGTATTTAATCTCACGCAGGTAAAAGCAGGTAAGAGCCTCAGCTAGAAACTAGCGCCCCGCACATCCTTTCGTGCTGGACACAGAACAGCAGGCGGCAGTTTTGGCAGCGTTCCTGGCCGCAGTGGAGGATGCTGGCCAGGGATGCAGCATGTTGGCCATAGATACCTCCACTTGGTCCCGTCTGTCAGCCCCTGGGAAACCTCGCTACCGTGGCTCTGCTCAACAGCTCCCGCTCACAGTTCTGTGTCATGGCATCTAGATACACTTTTTCTTTTTTGGCACTGGTTCTGAAAGGAGTCCACGGCCTCCCAGTCTGGATGGTCCCCTGCTTTTCCAGCTGGCATCACCTCCAAAACCCTGCTTGGGGATGTCACCTACTTCTCACAGTGCCAAGACAAGAACCAGAAGCCCTAAACACAACATGGAGGGCCGTGAGATTTTCAGCTGGGAAGGTAACCCCATAAATCACAGGATAGCCCGAGACTTTCAAGCCCAGTTTTGCCAGTAACATTTCAAAATCCTCCAACCTGTCTCGAAGGTGAAGAGCGAGCTTTCTGATGCTTGCAGCACGAATGTCCATGCACCTTTACTCTGCTCAGACCCAGGCCGAGCATGCTCTCGGGCAGTTGTGTAAGTCCCAGCCATCTGCCCGGAGTCCGTCAGGCTGCTGTTTAATGTCAGCTCCCAAACGGCAACTTGCTTCGGTGAGTGACTCTCAAAGAGCAAGAGACATCCTACTCCCTCAGGAAACTCATGCTCCACCAGAGTATTAACTCCTCAACGCTGAGCTTCAAGGGATTAACCTCCAAGCAATATATACTGAAAAGCAACCTTTAGAGGATGGATGCTGCTATCTGGGTCCACTTGGAGCCAGTGAGGAAATTTTTAGCAGCTGCTGAATCTGTCAGGATTGCTCAGGATAGCTTGCATTTCCCATGTCAGAAAGAAGGTGATAAACTTTACTGAGTGATGTGTTTAACGTAACTACAGGGGGGGAAAAATGGACAAAAATAGGAGTGAAAGCACACAAGACCTGATTCTGGTATAGGGACTTAAAAAGCTACCTTGCTGACCAATAGCGTACACATATTCGAGTAAGGAGAAGGGAAGAAGGCTGAATGGGAGAAACTGCCACGCACCTTGACATCATTTGGGATCCTGCTCATTTCAGTACTGGGCCCTGCATCCCAAGGGCCGAGACCCGCGGGGAGGGCGCGGGGTCCCTTCTGGTCCCTTCTACGCTCGCTTGGCAGCTGCAGCAGCGCAGAGCTCTGCGGGAACAAAGGCCGGCCCCGCTCCTCCCATCAGGGACCCCCACCACGTTTCCATGGGAGCAGGGACACACAGATTTTTGCAAGGCCTGGAGGTGCTGACTCTCCTGGAGAGGCTGCGGCGCCAGAAATGCTCTCACAACAAGCAGTGAATAAGGAGTTGTTCAGATTGACAAAAGATGCACATGGCACGAGTCCCAGAAGTACATGCCACGTTTAATAAACTAATGGGAATGAGGAATACAAAGCCTCATCTGCGCAGGTTAGGTTTTTTCTGCAAAATAGCGTATTTAATTCAAATATCCTTACACAATGCTGAAAGCAAGAAGCCTAAACTTGATTCACCTCAATCTACCCGAAGCCCCCTGTTACAATCACGCCGGTTTCTCACAAAAGCATGGGAAGCACGAGCTGGCACAAACCTGGGAGCTCTCTCTCGTCTGGTACATGAGACCCAGAAAGTGGAACAGACCACGGGCTGAAAATGTCACTGACCTGTCTCACTTAAGCGTCTAA